TGATAATTCATTTTGCAAAGGACTTTAATCAGGAGACGACCTGGTTTGATTTACTCTCTTGTAACTTTATAATCGGGTTTAGACAGCACACTACTGGTTCCCAAACTGGGGGTTAAGACCCCAATACGGGGTCATAAAATAGACCCAAGGGGTCACGAGATTATCTGCATAAACTCATGTTTCTGCAACACAAAATTGTACATGTTTTCAAAAGGTTCCTCTGATCTTTCCCCCTTTTTTCTATTGAATTGCTGAATCACTTGTTATCTCCAGAGTCTCAAAAAATGAAATAAAAAATACATGCAACACCAGCGAGGGGTCATAAATAGACACTGCATTGTTTTAGGGTATTACAAGCCAAAATAAGTAAAATATTTTAAAGTCGACCCAACCAAAAATATTTCAAATTAGCTCAACACTACACTGATAAACTTAATGATTCATTGTCTGTTGTTTTTCAATGTGCTGCCCTAAATTTCTGTCTCTAAGAATGTTATTTTTCTCCAGACATTCCTCCTGGGCTGTGTTTGTGTGTGTGTGTGTGTGTGTGTGTGTGTGTGTGTGTGTTTGAGCAGGGTATGAGGGTGAATGTGAAATCAGTCTGCAATGTGAAGTGAAAATACCTGCAGGCAGATCCTGCCCATCACACCGGCAAGCAAACCTTCAACTGCAGTGTGTGTGTGTGTGTGTGTGTGTGTGTGTGTGTGTGTGTGTGTGTGTTTCTCACAGTTACAAGTGTGCAATCAAACACTCACACAGGCAGCCAGGTGACAGGCAGACTGGATGTGACGGTGCTGAGCTGCTAGAGAAGTGTCATCATGTCGTTGCCACAAGTGCATCGCCCTGCTGACTGTTTATAAAGATGCGAAGTGCCTTCGGCGTGTCTCATACCGCGACACTATTCTGTGAATTCAGTGGAAGCCGTCTCGTTCGGGAGCAGCACTGTAAACCCAGACTGGACTGACGTGTCTGCAAACAAGCTGCATTCTGAGGTTGGGCGAGTGTTTGCTTGAGAGGAGGGGAGAAGGTCCTAAGGGTATAAACACAAGTGCCCACTGAGGCATCACCAGGCTGAAGGGGGGGGGGGGTTGACAGGCCATCACAGCTGTGTGTCACAGAGCAGGAGACGAAGGCTCCGGAGGGACCGAGATGTTGGCCGGGGTTAAAGGTCGTCTGGTGACACATTTTAGCTTTTCGTCTCCTTCACTGGAGTTCCATGCGACTGCTTCAGCTGACACACACACACATCTGTGTGTGTGTGTGTGGGAGACGGACAGACTGCAGCCCTTCCCTTCTTTGCATATACCCCCTGAAATCACATCTTGCACTGGATCGGACAGAGAAGTTTGGCAAAAATCAACAGTGTCATCGTAGCACTAACTGGATCATAAGAATGTAAAATTCTACAGTGAATGCATGTTAAATCTGTCACTGGTCCTCTACCAGCTGTTTGTAAAGCAGAGAAGGATGCGACCGGTCGGGTATGACGGCAGCCACGAGTAGAAACAGTCAAAGCGAGTAACCGTCATCTCATACCTTAGCATGCAATCTCACTGTGGCTCCTCTAAGCAGGGGACAGAGTGTAGCAGGCCATTAGTGTGTGCAGAACTGTATCAGTCTGTGTACTTCATTATTTACGGCTCATTCATACCAGGGAACCTGCAGTGAGAGTATTGGAGCCATCACACGAAAAAATAAATAAACTAGAGTTAAATTAGGAAACTCATTGCGACCAGCACATGTTAAATTACAAGTTTATCCACTTTATATTTCAGCAAAAGTGCGTCACTCTGACTAAATACAAATCTTTTGCGCCGCAATTGCACTTTTAATCCAACCTTTACATCTGCAATACCAGATGAGATGACACGCAATTAACTTAGAGGCGGTAAATACACTATACGGGATTAGTGAATCAACTGACCTTCACACTCTCCCTTCTCCGACATGACGGTGAAGCAGCATCTATTACCACAACATTACAAATTCAACTCGCATATCATATTCTGTTAAATACTGTATTATTGGCTGGCCTGGATCTGGAATGCTAAAACAAGCTTATAAATTAATGATATGATCACATCATCACTGAGACGCTGTGTTCAAAAGAGGCAAAAATTATAATTCTGGGATGAGAGACCACGTTGGAAAATGGTTAGATGTCTGAAGTGGCTCATGAGTATGTGTGATTTGAAAAAGAAGCTCCCAACCTGGAGCTCTTTGATGAGTCCAGTGAGAGAGGGCAGTGAGCTGTACAGCTCTCAGGTTACCATCTGCCTGCACGCCTGGCATACAGGGCTGAAACCCAAACTCCTGCTGGGATACAGACCATGAAGAGAGGTGATGCTCCCCATCACAAAGAAGCCCAGTGTCCCTCTCTCTCTCTCTTTATATTTGCAGTGTACACTTTGTGGCTCATTCCTCATCCTGCCCGCTAACACTTGCCTCCATCTTTGGCAAACCAACATTCCAAATGAGTCACTGTCAAGTCAAATATCCTCTTCCTCTTTGATCTGCTGGGTTCGGTCCAGGAGAACAAGGCTGCTTTATATTTCAAACTGCTAAATATTTCCATACGAGTCGAAGGATATCATTCTGAACTTGTTACCCAAAAAAATGGATCATTCTGGGACACAAACAGCTTTGTCTCACCGTCAGCGTATCGCCAACTTCCTCCCAAATGAGTGACGGGGGTGATTAGCTGCATAAACACTTCTCATATAGTATTCATGTTAATTACGGCGCTCACTGTGTACCAGGATGGAGCACAGAGGAGCTAATGAGATTGGGAGACAAAGGAAACCATGAGGACAGTGTGCATTTTAAACAGAGCGAGACGTAATGAGACGAAGCTGCTGCAAAAGCAGGATGAAAAAAATAAACTGGCTTTGTTTTGATGTGATTTTTTTTTTCCACCCGTCAACAATAAACTCTCAGTGGGAATCTACTGAGGAGGAATAATGAAGCCTGATCAGCAGCTACACTGTCTGCTGACAGAGGATCAGTAGAAATATAACTTAGTGATCAGTTGTGTGTGTGTGTGTGTGTGTGTGTGTGTGTGTGTGTGTGTGTGCACATCCAGAAGCATCCCTCTCATGAATGAATGTGTAATTGCTGCTGGAACATCTGGATCACCTTTCACAGCAGGTGGAGCATGTTACTGAGAGCAGAGTGTGTGCATCCTCTCTGCTGAACCCGTTTTTGTCAATATGGTTGATGTTTCATGCAGCAGTTGGTCTCTCACTTTAAAGGACTTTTGTTAAAAGAAAATGACCGAGCTCGTTGCACACGTGATGGTGTTTTATCATCACGTTAAAATAATATTTCACAGCCTTCTCGTGTATTATTTCTCATATAAAGTTCATTTTTCTCACCGTCTCTCCGGGGCGCCTGCAGCACGGAGGCGTCTCTGATGGCACGCGCCCACCTCTCCGCCTCCTGGAGGTTGGCGAGCGGGTCCTGGACCAGCGCGACCCGAAAGCACTGCTCCACCTTCTGCCGGGCCACGCCGGCGCTCATCCAGCGCCTCTTGAACGGGTAGAAGTAGGCTGTGAAGTAGGCGCCGACGTCCGCGCCGTCCGGCCCTCGGTGCGCCCGGCATCCGACGCAGTCGGTCAAGTTAAAAACCACCTTCGTGCGGCCGGGCGACGAGGAGATCCTCTGGACGGTCAGGGCGCTCTCCGTCAAACTCACCGAGTACCGGACCCTGTCGTTGAGCGCGTCGGTGAACTCCCCGTACAGCACGCCCACGACCCCGTTCCGCTGGCGGGATGGGTCCGGTTCAGAGTTCTCCATCCCGGGGCGGAGAGAGAGAGAGAGAGAGAGAGAGCGACGCGTCCCGCAGGCCGATGTGGCGGATGGCGGCGCGGCTGCAGACTCCGCTCTCCGGTATCAGCACCGCTGTGGGACCCTCGGAGTGTGATGATGAGAACAGCGGCTCTCTTAGTTCACTGTCTCTCCCTAGTGACCGAAAGAGGGAACGGCAGTGATGGAGCCGGAGGAGCGAGCAGCTGACTGACCTCCGTCTGCAAGCGAGGAAACCGGATCAGCTAACCTGATAGTCAATTTCAAGCCTCTGCTTATAGGCCTATTGCCAATTATGTGGAGAATAATTCACCAAATAGTACTATGCAATTTACTTATCAATTCAAATTGGAACTTTGTTATCAAAAAATCGACATTTATTTGATTTGACTCCCTTAAATGTCATTGAATATTTATCTGCAGCAAGTGCACCCAGCTTTATAAGGTGATGGAAATATCAAGAAGCTCGGAGAAAAGGGTGAAAACTATATTATCTTTTATCCAGATTTGCTTCATAAATACATTAGGGAAACTGAAGAGGTGCCTTTGACTTATCTCTTATTTGTGAAATGAATTAATTCCATTATACTGTTATTTTTTGCACAGGCTACGAGAATCTCTATCATTTTTTCCATCAAATAATCTATTAAGTCTATTAAATATTTAGATACACTCCCAAAAATGTCCGCTAAATGTCCTCCGGAAGAGATGTTCTAATGACTTGTTGAATGTGATCCCAATGATCAGCCTCAGTCACATCATTGGCTGTAATTACTTGATTTAGGCACGTGGAGCAATGAAAAAAGACACATGCAATCCGAATTTATCTCTTAAATGATATGTAATATTTTTCTTTTTCACGCATTTCACCTCATATTCATAACATTTCACATTAGTAAGGTTGGAATTATAAAATGTTGAAACGGCTGTGAGAAGAACTGCTACTTCCGTTGTATTTTATTTTTTGTTGCATGGATAACAACAGTTTTTACAATAATGTATATTATCTATATCATAAATTATTAAATCTTATCTCAATTAGTATTGAGTCCAGTTTCCAGAATACTAGCCTACTTTTTGCAGGCAGATTGAGCACAAGTTGAACTTTTACCACACCCAGTCAGTGATCACGTGGGATGTGACGTTTCAAACGTATAAAAGCGTCATCACGCAAGACTTCCGTCCTTGGTTCTCTTTCCTTACCGGTGTGAGGGACACGAGAGGAGAAGCTCCAGCTCTCACGTGTTACGATGAGTTTACGACTAACTGTGAAGTTTCCTGCGGATGATCCGCCGTGAACAGGTAATACTCTTTGGGTAGTAAACGAGACTTTAAGTGTGCGGAAGTATGGAGACTGTTTCGTGTGAGTTGTGCTAGCTGTTAGCTGTTAGCTAGGCCAACACGTGGAGGGAGACCAGGTTGGGCAAACGTTACAGAAGGACCAGGGAACATGCACTAAATCCACATGTCTGATTTATTTAATATCTATTTTACAGGAGGCTTTGAGTGCAGAATGAGGCTCATCATCCTGCCAACACGATGAAAGGTAAAACTCACTTTAAATGGTGTTTAATATATATTCCTGACTCTCTGCAGTGCACGTGATGATTCTGTTATCCCTGTCTGAAATAACAACTGTTGAAGTAAATGGTATCTGACTAGCTGCAGACTTCGTGTGTGGAGTCACGTGATGCTGCTGAACTATCGTTAACGAAACGTCTCCTTACGTCACAGGTCTGTGGTTCATCTGTCCCTCGTGACTGAGAACGAGGATTCCTGGTGACCAGGTGTGTACCACGCTCCCCTCTAGTGATCCACGTGCTGGTGTTCAGGGATGATAACTGCTGCATAGGAAGTGCCGTCTTATGCGATAACTGACGATGGAAATAGCTGTTCTGAGAAACACCGACAAACTGTTATCTTATGGTGTTAATAATCTGAACACTTAATGATCTAGATGTACATTTTCACCCCTACAGGATGTGACAATCTGCAACGCATGACTGTACAGGACGACACGTGGGACCTGAGGAATGTTAAACAGGTAAATGTTGCGAGACTGAAGCCTGATTAAAGTCAAGCCAGTGATGATACAAGTTATCCCTGTCTGAATTTAAGTGATGAGTCATGGTAATCTGAGGCTTGACTGTAGATAAAGGACTAGTGGATCGTTTGATGTCAAAGTTTGTCGCATCATTGTAAAAGTGTTTTCTCTAACTTGCAGATTACATCAATGGTGAAGTGGATGTGTGACTACGCACATTAAAAAGTTTGCTCTGAAACATGTTTAATGAAAATGTTTATTGAAAGTGTACAACACATTCAGAAACCGATGGCACGTTTGAAGTATTCTGAATGTTCTGTTTGCTTCACCTGATGGATGGTCGATGACAAATGTATTTCTAAATAAAGTTCATTGCAAGTAAAAAAAAGTGTGAATTCTATTCTTGCATATTATACAAAACAATAGTGCGAACACCAGCACGTGTTGGTCAATCTGTGTTAAAAGATGATCTGTATGATTTCTTCTTCAAATTCTCCAAGAAGATCTGCTCCTCCTGGAGATATTCACGGTCCTGAGGGGAGGAAGAGAAAGTAATCCAAGTTTAAAATGTACTAATGTAGGAGTCAGACCAGTTGGTATCACGTTAACCTACTTGAGTTATGATCTGTGCTTCAGGACTCTGGTTAATGTCTTAAAACCATTTGAACACCAGTGACTACTCGGTCATGTAGCATTAAATTGATGCAAAATATAACTCTGAAATGGCTTTTTGAAGGTTTGTCACTTAAAGATCAAAATGGTCACGTGACTAAACTTGACGTTGCTAGTCATGATGTGGCTGAATACAAACATGCCCCCTAAAGCCTTAAAACCCTCAGATACACTGACGTCTCCTGTTGAATGTGAGGCTTGATGTGCTGTAAATACGAAGGACGGCACTTTGCATCACTTAACATATACACTTGATAACATGTTACGTACAGCTGTGGGTGTTTCGTTCTTCTTACTCCTGATCTGAACGTCTTCCAGGCTCTTGCCTCACGAGAGGAAAAAGTCAAATCTATTGAAACGGCTTCAATGACTAAATTAAATGTTTCAAGAATAAATCCTTGTAATAGTCTCATAGCATTCCTCTGTTTTCATGTTCCATCCTTAATGTTTCTGAGTAATATTAAAATGCCAGGCTGATAACCCAGTGTTGAACATCACATTGCTATGGATTGTGGGTAATTCCCTGAGGCAAAGTCTGCAGAAATGGGGACTAGCGTGTTAAAGTGTTCATGAAGGGCTCAAGGTGTCTGTGAGAACCCCCTCAAACGATGTGACAGTGGGACCGCCCTAAACCCTCACAGACTGAGTGTGGAGATTGGGGAATTGGGCCTGCGACAGGATTTCCTAAACCTTCAGCAGGAAGTGTGTGTGTGTGTGTTACCTTCTCTGCAGTGTACCTCCACAGAGCCAGACTCGCCTGGAGAGCCATGGACTGAGAGCTGGCTAACGAGGCCGGAGGGGGAATGTTCAGGGTCGCTGTCAGCTCAGGATTTGGCAACACAGAACCTGCATCTACAGATGAAGATAAAATCATGTTATAGACTTCATTTTACAACTTGTATGAGTAACTACTCTTTGTTGAATGATGGTCAAACACAGAATTGACCTCACCTGGTATGGTGGTTGGAATCATCTGAGGTAACGAGGTGATTGGAGCGTTTTGTCTCCGCCTCTCTGTGTCCTTCTGCAGATGACTCAACCTCATTCGCTCCTGTAATAAGAAGGTTTTAGGTTTCTAACACTAAGTTATGTCATGTGCATTGAAGTATATCTGAAGTGACTCACGCACCTGAAGAATTCGTTGTTCTTGCTGCCTCAGCCGCTCCGTCTGTGTGTGGATATTTCGAAGCCTTGCCTCGTGCCCCGCCTCCACACGCTTCGCCTCCTGCAGCGCTCGTTCTCCCTCCTCATACTTCTCTGCAGCGAGCTGCAAAGAGCGTAACGCGGTCAGAGCTCAGATATCACACAGGCGACTGCGCTAACACGTAAGGATCCTGCGTGGTGTGGAAGTTACCTCGCTAAAGGCCTCCACCTCGTGGGCTCGTGTCTTGAGTCTCAAGGCCGTGCTGCTTATTCTCTCTTTCTCTCTGTCCAGTTCTTCTCTCAGTCGTTCCAGAGTCTCTCTCTCTTGTGCCACAGCCATCTCCTTTTGTTTCAGCTCTGCAGTGAGGAGCTTTAAGTCAGCTTGTTCCTACAATAAAAACAGAAAAGAAATTACATTTATTATGTCCTCTGTGTGTCCCGTGGAGCTAAACGAAATGTAGTAATTTAAACAAAGTCACAACATAGTTTTTACGAGGCTCCTCTTTCTTTTCTCTTTGGTGAAGCTGACCTGTGCCAGACTGATGATGGAGCCCTCTCTCTTCTCCAAGAGACTGCTGACCTCCCGCTCAGCCCTCTCATGCCTCTGCTTCTCCAGGCTGTGAAAGTGGGCCCAGTCGGCGGCCAGCTTCCTCCTCTCCTCCGCACAATGCTGCATCACCGACTTCTGCTCCTCCAGCAGTGCACTCTGGTGAGAAAGGGAGACGGACGGGAGAGGTAAGGGAGACGCGTACGGACTCAGACGCTGTGGATGTAGATGTTCACCTGGCTCACCTTGGCTCTCTCCAGCTCCTCTCTTTCCATGTTGATCTGCAAACTGAGGGCATGTCGCTCTCCCTCCAGGCCTCTTTGGGTCGACTCAGCCTTGGCCTGCTCTGCTGTCATCTTCCAGCGCTCCTGAGGTAGAGAAAAATAAGGTACCTTCAGTCTTTGTATGTATGCACTTGTGGTGTGCTGCTACAACAAAGCAAATGCATGAGTCTATTTTTAAAAGTCAGATTTGACCCGGACCTTCTCAAGCTGTCTCTGCTGCTCATTGAGCTGAGTGTCCATCCTGGAAATGATTTCCTTGAGGTAAGCTCTCTCCTCCACCATGGCTTTCTGCTGCTGGGCCAGACGGTCCTGCGTCACTGAGAGGTGCATTTAGAGAACGACCTTAACCCATTTACAATGTGATGCCGACTTCCAGCACGCTATTAGACAAACTTGTATCTTGACCTATTTGTGCAAAGTGAGCACATCTGTGTGTGTGTGTGTGTGTGTGTGTGTGTTTCTGAGGTACTTCGAAGCTGCTCGTCTCTGTGCCGTGCTCCTTGCTCCAGGCCGTGAGCCGTGTGTTCATGTGTGCTCTCCACCCGAGAAGAAAGATCCCCGAGCCGAGAGGAGAACTGCTCCATCTGCTCAATCACCACCGTAAGAGACCTGGAGGAATAAAAACACATGCAACCAAACATACGAGTAGCTATTTAATAAAACAATCACAGAGATCCTGACCTAGATGAGTTGGTCAGTGTCTGTTAAATCTGTTAAAGTAGAACAAAAACATCCTGTTCTTGTTTGCTCTTGCTACATTCTGTCTATTATGGAAAATATCAGCACTGAACCGACAGAAAACAGACGACTAGTATTTACAGGAGTATATTTTTATATCTGCAGCTGCTGTTATAAGTCGTCATCATTTTTCTGTCTGTTTCCTCTGATGACCTCTGACCTCGTCTGAGACGTTGCGCTTGTAACTGCATCAATCTCCTCGTCCTTTAATTTCTTCAGCCTCCTGACCTGGTCCTCGTGGTCTTTCTTCATCTCCAAGATAGACTTCCTAGACGGCGACAAAGGACAAATACACCAATATATGCTATAACTATATGCTATAAAGCTCATTTAGTTATCATTAAATATATACTATTTATTTCACATCAGTCCATGTTCCATATTTGAGGGGTTTCTGGGTATTATTCTGTTATCCAGATAACTGTGATTGTGCCTCTTGAATCAGACTCCAGATGTGCGGAAACAATAAACGGCATTTAAGCCGTTTTATTTATTGTTCATTCTTATACTGTAAAGCAAAGCAGAATAGCTTTACTGATTCCTATGTGTCTGTGTCTCGAGGTGACGATGGAACTCTTATTTTATCCCGTTTGACTCTTCTGCATGTGCATTACTTTAAAGATGACTTATCAGTCAGCACGTGTTAATAATTGCTATAGTTATAGAATCACTCAGTCTTTATAGAAAAGGCTTTCCTGGCGTACCTCTGGAGGTCTCTGAGTCTCTCCACCTCACGGTCTCTGTCTTGCTGGGCCTGTGCCACTTTGCGCTGGTACTGAGCCTGCAGCTCTGAGCGTTCCTGCTCTGCTGATCGCGTTACTGCAGAGAGACGCTCCATTAGGTCTTCACACTCCTTCCGTGCCTGCGTCTCCCTCTGGGCCGCCGAGTCCTCGAGCAGCTTCACGCGACCTCTGGAGGTGCACAAAAGTACGTAAGGCTTTCGTTGAGCATACAGACGCACGCAAGCTGCTTCAAGTGCAGGGAATTATGCATAATGTGGTTAAGCATGCACACAGGCGATGCACATCTGTGCTACGTGTGTGTGTGTGTGTGTGTGTGTGTGTGTGTGTGTGTGTGTGTGTG